CCGTTATATTTTGTATTCATTTCATAAGTGTATAAATAACACCGCCATAGTAAAATTCTGGGTATTTCTTGTATTTGACACGCGTATTAACCATACAAAATATTTTTAAAGCGCTGCGCAAGTAGCACATGAATTAGTGCAAATAAAGTTAAAAGCAAAGCTAAAAAATTTGTATTTGGTCATTTATTTGAGAGACAACACACAGGATACACGCATGTCTCAGATGTCATCATAGCTGTCGTCACAGATGCAAACACAGCTTGAAGCACGGAGGTCGCAGTTGTCGTCATTGGTGTCATCGCAGCTGGATGAAAAGATCACACAGCTGCAGAAGGATTTAATCAGAGACAACGCGCTACTCAGAGAAAGACAGGATAAAATCGAAGAGAAGCAGTTTTTGGCAATTTTTTTTGTCGACGATGTCAGCCATTTTCTTCCATACGAAGTGTGTTCGACGATTTTTTTATATGGAGAAAATTAGCAACACCTTCATAAAAAACTTAATTATCTTAAAATTTAGTGGGCTAAAAAACCGCACACTCAAAATAAATCTAGGAAATCGAATTAAAAACCTCGAAATTTTTACGAAAGTGTGTTGGTTTTTTAAATGTTGCACAAAGTTTGAACCTTGGATTTGTACGGCTTTTCTTAAAATATAAACCGTATTTTTACAAAAAATAATTAAAATTGAATAATATTAAGATAAATGGTCAAATCGTCTCGTAAAGTTTTGATAAGCACTTGAAATGCTATTAAAATGTCAAATTTTAGTACTGTATCCAAAGAAAATGTCTCTTTTATCCATTAATAATAACTTAAATATGCTTTTTGTTAAGATGTATACCTGAAAATGTGTGCATACATATTTGCGTTAAATGCAGTACATGTGCACGTGGAATCAATTTGCAAAAGTGTAAAATACGTAAACGTATGTACATAAACAATAAAACTTTCTCATGAATACCATAAAATCATTGGTCTTGAAGGGAATGTAGTAAGAAAATATATGAGCGAATTAAAAAGTGTATACAATTTATAGCCGAAAAGTATATTTTTTGTATAGATTTCGTACTGAAGGAACAATTTTATCTCCCAACACTGATACAGAATGTAAACAAACACAGGGTTGGAAGGAAAAAAAGTTGAACGAGCTCAAAGTTGGCTGGCGACCAATTTTGTTGAAAGCGATTAGTTGAAAGGCCGTTCGGACGAGGCGTTTTTTGCTTTCAACTAAAAGTTGCCTGAAAAATCGCGGCGTGCGAATGCCCTATAATCATTCTTGCTCACAATCATGGCATATGCCAAACGTTTCCATTCCTAGTGATGTGCAGAGTCAATACTTTGAAGAATTCATCGACACTTGGTACCGATATAAGTATCCAATACTTTCGATACTCGGTACCGAAACGTTTAGGCTTCCAATAAGAACGCATGTAGACCAAAAATAAAAGCGGTTTAGGGGAGCCTAGCATATCAAAAGCAAGGGTGGGGGCTAATTGAGGTTTTAATTTCCATTGACCATCGCCACAATGCAGAGAAACTTCCTTATTTGAAACATATCTTTCTGGATGAATCGGACGATGTTAACTTTGTAGGCATGAAGGCTCCGCCAGATAGAAATTCTTTTCTGCGTCACAGGGATGCTTTTGACTGACATTCAAGTCGACTCTGTGATTTTTAATAGAAGACGTCATGTTGGCAACGCATGCGTTGACGCATCTGACAAAATTTGCACAACTCTCAATTTTAGACGCACGCGTATGTGGCAAACCAACATTAAGAACAAAAATGTATAGAACGAATTCAAACCAGCTGATTTTTGACCGGGGCCTTGAAAGACTTCCTTCATCCGTCAAAGAATTTATCTTCAATTTTAGATCTACGAAGGTAGAAACTGATAAAATGGAAGTTTACTGTTGCCACAGTATCAAGAAAGCGATGAGAGTGTTTTGATATGTGGTTTCCACATTGCTTAGTACAAATTGTTCAACTTTTGGGACAGCGTCGTCTTACTCGTACTTATTGGCTGCGTTTCTTTATACATTCCGGATAATCCCATTTCACAGCCGGAATAAACATAATGGCCCGTAGTCATAGTCAAAATAAAGTCGACTTTAAAGTTAGTTGCAGCTTTTTGACATAATTTTCAATGGGATATCTGTCAAAAAAGCTGCAACTAACTTTAAAGTCGACTTTATTTTGACTATGACTACGGGCCATTGCGTCTGAAATATACGTCAACATATCATCAGGAACGTTCTAAATAATAAATAAACAAAAAAGTTTATTCCAAACGTTCAGAAAGAGTAAAGTAATGCAGCCATTGTGAAGCATATTCATAATCCGAGTAAAGTCGATGCTACTTTTTTGACAGATATTCTGTTGAAAATTATGTCAAAAAGCTGCAATTATGTATAGAATAGGTATTGGGTACCGAAAAGGAAGTATTGGGTGACAAAATCTTTTAAGTATTGGGTACCGTAAATTCAGCACATTACTATCGATTCCTCCTTATCACCATTATTTACGAATGAGGGTTAAAGCAGGCATTATAGCAACGGGTAACCCAAATAAAATTAAAACATACTATTTTAAATAAGTTTTTCTTATTTGTTCATTGCACCAAACTAAGAAGTAAAAAAAAAAATTAATTTCCGCTGGCGAATAAATTAAAATTTATGAAAAAAGTTGGCATACCTAAAGAATACTGTACTGACCCTTGAGCTAGAGAAAAAAGAAAACATGGACATGGTGCAACCTTTTCTGCTGAGTTTAATGGTAAACTTTTTTTTTTGGTGCAAATTGACAGGGGCCGCTAGGGGGGTTTGACGTGGAATTTCCAAAATTTTCAAAAGCTTATATTTTGAAAACTATTAAACCGATTTTCAAAATATGGACACAGTTGGAAGGACCTTTCATTCAATATATATATCTATGTATATAACGCCAACATATTTTGAGAAAAAGTAAAAAAACGAAATTATGGCAATTTTTTTATAAAAATGTATGTTTTTCGTAAAAAAATACGTAATTAACTATATTAACAAATATGTTTATCGGAAAGACCATAAAAATAACTTTAATTTGGGGTACAATTTTATATAGTTAGGTTTAAGTACAACTGTCAGCAGTGCAATAAAACAACTGTAATAATGTTATATGTTTTCTGCAAAAGATGTACAGCCCCTTTTATTTGGCAACACAGAAAGGAGAATTCTACGTTGTGAGGGTTATAATCCCTAAGCGCAGCCGAAGGCCGCCTACGCAGAAAGGTGTTCTATGCAAATGGTGTTCTGCCCCTTTTCTTTGGCAACACAGAAAGGAGAGGATTATGATCCCTAAGCGCGGCCGAAGGCCGCCAACGCAGAAAGGTATTCTACGCAAAAATACTGTGGATAGTGTAGCTTGATTAAGTATCCATTTAATTCTACAACTCAATCTTATAACAAATAAGGCGATTAAAAAAAATGGTTTGTATATATTCCTTTAGTATTTTTTTCTCTTTTCCTTTTCCCATAAAACTATATTTTTATATATATTTTGTCAAATATGATGTCCACATGAATTTTTTGCTACAAGTCATATATCAAGTTAACGGTATTTTGTGCTCTTTCTGATAAACATATCTGTTAATATAGTTAATTACGTATTTTTTAAAGAACAACATACATTTTTATAAAAAAAATTGCCATAATTTCGTTTTTTACCTTTTGTCGCAATGTGTATACATTATATACATAGATATATATATCGAATGAAAGGCCCTTCAATCACATTTCTAACTGTGTCCATACTTAGAAAATCGGTTCAATAGTTTTCGAAATATAAGCTTTTGAAAATGTTGAAAATTCCACGCTAAGCCCCCCTATCGCCGCCCCTGTCAATTTGCACAAAAAAAATATGCCGTTAAAATCCGGAAAAGGGGGCTTTTTTTTTCTCTAGCTCAAAGGTCCAGTGTTCTTTAGGTGTTCCAAAAAGTTTGATGACTTCCAGAAATACCAAAAAGTTATTACGATGCCCAAATGCAACCCAGCTTCAACGTAAAAACATATTTACATACATATTTACGTCGGATACGTCTTCAAATTAGGCAAAGGAATTGGACAACAAAGAAGAAATAACATATATTTAATTGCAAAAAACCGCATTGTGAACATTTTTACATTATTCAATGTATTTATTATTGTTTATAAACAAACGTCTTTGAAATTATGTGAATTACGTAGAAGAAACCGCTGAGGAAAATTTGATTACTTCAGCATACATATGTATGTATAAATGTACATATGTCATCTTCGCGAGATACAGAAAATCCGAATTCCGAATTTGAACAAGGGCATCAAAAAAGTCATCGTGACGGAAATGCAGGAAATGTGCAAACTATTTATTCCAGATACATGGAGTTAAGTCGGTATTGAACGAATTTATATGTCGGCAATAAAAGCCGCACGTAGCGAAACGCTGTGATTTCTTTTGCCAGGAAACTGGTTGTCATGAATTGTTCCACACCGAAAAATCCAGAATCAACGGCAACAAATACCTTAAAAGCAAATACAAAACCATCTTCACTGCCGACAAAGCTGTCATCGTCACCATCGTTGGTAACTCCTATATACTGCAGAAAAGACGTTGATAATTCAAATTTATTTTGTGCTACTACTGCTGGAAGCTGTATTTCCAACACGGAACGACCAACGCCCCCGCCAAGAGCAGCAAAAGCAGCCAAAGCCTTAAAACTCACATCCGCTGCTGCATCGGCTTCACAAACGCCAATGTAAGTTCGTTTTATTTTTACTATCCTAAAAATTGCAGTAATTCGGAATGTCTGTTGCATTAACATTTCAACTTAGCCTCATAAAAACAAATAGATTGTACCTGCATATCCATACATACAAAAATTATATCCTGGTTAAAAATTTGTTAAAAAATGTTTTTTATAAAGCTTGCATGCGCTACCGCTATTAAAAAGCCTTTATCATTTTTATTTCCTGTTTAGTTAACCAATAACTAGTCATATAACTTAAATAGGTAATAGATAAACAAACAAATACATTACATATATATTTATTTATTAAATACTTTACTAAACAGAACTCTTCGTAACAGCAAATTCTCACTAATGTCTAATTCACGTAATTCCAAAGCCCCTAAAATATGCCCTGTCATCATTCACCTAGAAGGTACGCTTGAAATACACATTCTTTTCATTGTCAACAAAGGCATATTCTAATTATTGTATGTTTAAACCTCAGTATATCCAGTAAACAAACTTAGCTATTTTTTTTTCGCC